TTCTTTTTTTTTTCTTTCTTTTCTCCTTGGTTCCTATTTTTTTTTCCTTTTTTTACATTTAAATCTTTAATTCAGTTTTTTTTGGGGGGGAAGGGTACTGTGTGATACTAAATATATATATAGAAAAAATTAGCTGGGCATGGTGGCTCATGGCTGTAGTCCCAGCTACTCGGGAGGCTGAGGCAGGAGGATTGCTTGAGCCCAGGAGTTTGAGGTTGCTGTGAGCTAGGCTGACGCCACCGCGCTCTAGCCCGGGCAACAGAGCCAGACTCTGTCTCAAAAAACAAAACAAAACAAAACAAAAACATGGGACCTAGGTTTATATCCAGTAGGTTCCATTGGTCAAATCTTATAAAAAGTATTTATTGCACAGAATTCCATGACGACAAAATACTTAGAAAGGTCAGGTCCTTCCAAGTCCTTTTTTTTTTTTTTAAGCCATAGGTCTCACTCTGTCACCCAGGTTGGACTGTAACCTTGAATTCGTGGGCTCAAGTAATCCTCCTGCCTACCTCCCGAGTAATTGGGACTACAGGTAAATGCTACCATGCATGGCTAATTTTTTGTAGAGATAGGGTCTCCCTACGTTTCGCAGGCTGGTCTTGAACTTGTAGCCTTAAGCTATCCTCCCACTTTGGCCTCCCAAAGTGCAGGGATTATAGGCATGAGCCACCGTGCCCAGCCTTTCCAAAATTCTTGAAGTAAGAACTTTAAAGTGATGGGAACAATTTTTCACTGAAATCTTTTATCAATTAGTACATTCTTTTTGAAGCCATTATTTTAGTAATCAGAAAATATGTAGGTCTTAAGAGTCAGACAAACCTGTATTTTCATTCTGGCTCTGGTTGCTGTGAGACCTTGGCCAAATTATGTCACTTCTGTGCTTTAATTTCCTCATCTGTAAAATGTAGATAATAATTACCTTACATAATTTTTTTCCAGCTTTACTGGGGTATAATTGACAAGTAGAAGTTGTATGTATTTAATGCATACAACATGATGCTTTGATATGTATACACTGTGAAATGATTGCAGTCAAGCTAGTTACCATTCATCACCTCATATAGTTAACCTTTTTTTGTGATAAGAACACTAAAGAGCTACCATCTTAGCAAGTTTCAAGTACACAGTACAGTATTGTTAACTGTAGTGACCATGCTCTGCATTAAATACCTTAATTTGTAATAGAACTCTTAGTTGTCATTAAGATCAAATAAAACCATCTTAAGGAAAATGGATACTTATAGGCTAATATGAGTTTCTGGAAGGAGCAGAATTGAAGGAAAAGCTGCAGATACCAAGGCAGCTCCAGGGACCTCAAGGACTGAGGCCTCTTACTCTATTCCATTGCAGACAGGCTTTGTTCATGGGGTCCTTCTGTTCCTTGCAGGTTTTCTTCTCTAATCTCAAATAGAAAATCCCAGGAAAAGGCTCTCGTTAGATTCACTAGGCTTGCATGCCCATCCATGGACCAGTCAGTGTTGCCTGGGATGGGGACCTCTGATTTTCTAGCTCTGTGCCACTGACACATCTGTAGGCAGACAGAATAACATGATTGGTGTTGGAGAGGAGTGGTGCCTCAAAGGAGAGGGGTAGACAATGGCTCTTCCACATAGAGAGACTCTTTGAAGCCATTAATATGGACAGACTGTATTAAGGTTTTCAGTAGAAAGCAGTTCTTATTACCAGGCGTTAGTACTTCTCAGAAGGCATCATACCACATTGTGGCTCTGCATTTCAGCTAGTCAGGATGATTAAATTCCCACATTTCACTGGTGAGTCTTGACAGTGATTATCAAGATTTCACTTATGGCTATACAGCAGTAGTGGTAGTGGGCAGTCAAGGAACTACTAAACATTTCAGTGACACCATTTCTGGACTGATTGTGCCCTCTGCATGACTTACTGTCAAACAGGGAAGTCGTTCACCTCATTTTCCTTTTCAGATCTGGTTAGACCATAGAGTTATCATTTCTGCTGGATCCTGTTAACACTAGTAGGATATACTGAGAATTTAAAGAATGGAAAGATTAAGGGCTTTAGAGTCACAAACTTCAGCTTTGCTACTCACTTGCTGTGTTGACCTTGAACACATTTCCTCATCAGTTAGAAATAAGAGTACTATGATATTGGGTTGTTTGTGAGAATTGAAATGAAATAGCTGGTGGTATAGATTACCTAGGATGAAGCATGGCACAGTAAACTTGTAGCTAATGTGATCATTTTGATAATTTAAATTTTAAGATTTTTTTTCCCCAGTTTCTAACCTCAGAAAAATTCTGGTCCTTGGGCCCCAGTTGAGACCTGCTAAACCAGAATGCCTGACAGTGGGGTCCAGGAATCTGTATTTTAGATACATGCTCCAGGTTATTAAAAACCAAAGATTGAGAACCATTAATTTAGCTGATAATGGTTTGACCATTATTTTTGCACTACTATTTTTAATGAAGAAGTTTTTCCCTCTCTTCTGCAGTTATTTTTAAAGAAGAGCTGGGGCACTGAACAGTAAAGAAAGTTGTTATGGAAACTGGAATGTCATGTCACCTTAAACTCTGCTTTGTTAATGCAGAAACATTTTATATAAAACCATAACCCTGTACCTTGTATTTTAATTCATTGAAGATCACAGTGGTATCTACTCACATGTTTGTAAAGTGCTGTGTTAGTCTGTTGGGGCT